ATATATATATATATATATATATATATATATATAAATCTTTGTGTAAGTTATTTATTTTATATTAGGCCTGTAGCATACTGCATTTTTATTCGGTTTGTTAACAAAAGTTTTGTTGTTGTTCATTCAAGCAATTGACACCGAATTGCAGCTAATTCAAAAGTGAAAGTAAAATGTGCACAGGCATTTACAAGCCATTTAAAAGTGAAGGAAAGCGTGGAAAAGAGGTAAAACCCAAACGAACCCCACACCCCTGGTGATACCGGTATTACCAGTGTTGTCACATGTCGATTAACTGTTGGGAAAATGTCCTCACCGTCACAACGCTACTGCTTAGCCAGGCGAGTTTCGGTTCAGTTTTTTGCCAAAACTGGGTTTTAAGCACCATGAAAGTGGCTTTTATTGATGTTCGTTGGTATAGTAACTTACGCTCCACTGCTAACCTGCGGCAGAACAGGTTATGTTCTGAGTAAGATATCTCAATCAGCTTTGAGCAAAGTGACACACCCCTGACGCATTAAAGTCACTCCCCAAGTTTCTCAAATAAACTGTGATAGCATTTTTTTTTTTTTTGTAAACTTTAAAATGCTTTTAGTGATGATTATTTATTATAATAATTTAATATGATTTACATAATTATTTTACCTTTAATCTGTTACACATGAGCAATTTTAGTTTAACTATTATTAAGCATTTTGTTTAAATGAATATAAATTCATACAAATGATATGTAATAAAGAAATAAGCTCTAGAATCAATAGATACACTTTTAAAGGGGTCATGAACTGCATTTTTAAAAAATATTTTATAATGTTGTCTGAGGTTCACTTCTAATGTTAGTATGATATTACATCAAAAAACATCATAATTCAGAAGTAATAGGCTATTTTCTATCCTGTTTTTGAGCCTCTCTGCAGAACGGTTTGTTTTTATAGATGGGGCACATCCAAGACTCACAAGTAAACTCCCACTGCTGTGATTGGCTAAAAGTTTTGCTTATTAAAATATACTCTGAAAACAAAATGGGTTATTTGGGTTAAAAACGTATAAATACTCAGTATATATCAAACGGTCTGGAACAGACAATGCAATAGTGGTAAAAGCACATTTACTTACACTTTTGTGTTGCTGAGTCAGACTCAGCACTGCCATCATTGTTTACTTTGAGTTTCTCTGAATCTTACAATCTCTCCTGCATCATACGGTCTTTTTTAAAAATAAATCCATAGCAAAGTAAAGCAAACAAACAAACAAACACTCTTTCACTGACGCAGTCTGGAGTTCTTTGCTAATTTTACCCCCTGCTTACACCAGACGCGAGCGGCGCAACGCAACTATAGACAACAGAACCCATCATAATCAGCGATTCTGTCTACACTGAATATGGCACGGATTGACACAACAAATCTCTGACAGTAAACTAATGTCCCGCTCTATTTCTGACATACTCCAAGCATTCGTGCCGCTTCTGAACTGAAAGAGAAATTGATTCGCGAAATGACGCAACAGCGCTCGCGTCCGATGTAGATATGTTAGGATGACAAGGAAGGCAATTCAAAGACTATTTTTCACAACTTACACTACACTGTCTTGTAATCTTGTAATGACATTGGCACATTCCACAACCTGTCGTTTTCTGAGCTTGGTTTCAATAAAAACTGTTTTGAGAAAACGAGAATGTTTTGAGTTTTGAAACCTACATGATGTTGTTATAGTACATTGGCCTGGTATATATCAAAAGATCAAGGGAAATTAGATTTCTCAGTTCATGACCGCGTTAAAAAGTTTACTTGTTTGAGTCTCTGTATACTGTATCTATATACAGTGGGTATAGAATATAATCACCCCCCTTTAAAATAATCATGTTTTGCAGCCTGAAATGAAGATGGACACAGCTGTATTTACTCAGTGCAACTTATAGCATCCAAGTGAAAGATATAACACCAACATGTCAGAAAATAAATAAATAAATAAAAATAAAACACCAGAATCACTGAGTTGGAAAAAGGATCACCCCCTTGTGTTAGTATTTTGTTGAACCACCTTTTGCTTTAATTACAGCATTTAGTCTGTCGGGTTATGTCTCTACTAACTTTACACATCTAGACTTTGCAAACTTTGCCCACTCTTCATTGCAGTAGTTCAGTTAAATTTAATGGTAACCGTTTATGGACTGCAGTCTTTAAGTCATTCCACAGATTCTCAATGGGGTTTAAGTCTGGGCTCTGACTAGGCCAGGGGTAGGCAAGTTCGGTCCTAGAGAGCCGCAGTCCTGCAGAGTTCAGCTCCAACCCT